TAATTAATTTTATATAGACTTTATATATTTATAATAAAATGAATCACTACTACAGTACAGTAGTAGTCTGTGATTAGTTATTTTACCTGCTCTTTTGATGATCTCCCAGACTGCTGCAGGCGTGGCAGGCACCATGGATCTCTGGTCCAGACATAGCTTTCCAATATTTACAATATGAAAACCGTCAACATCCTTTTCTGGAGCGATGGCGTTACACACCGCCCGCTCGTTGATGTGCTCTGACCAGGAGAGAGAAGCAATGTGTCAATAGTTTCATATTCCAGTATAATGACCCATGAGTGTGAAAAAAGTTTATACTCCATCTATAGTGTGTTGAAAAATATCATATGTGTGTAGAGCAGGCAGTATTAGCCAGTTCATTTTTTAATTTAATTTCTCTTTGTTCTCAGTGAAAACACTAAGGCAGCTGGGACCTGTGTTTTTACCGGGTAGGGGCAGCTGCACCAACAGACCGCTGACTCTCCAGTCACGGTTCATCTTGTCAATCAGATCCAGCAGCTCCTCCTGGGAGACAGAGCTCGGCCGCACCACGGTGTCGCTGGAAATGCCTAAAGAAGACATACATCACACGTCCTCAATGTTTATACTGTGCAGTTTTACAGCTTTTGATAAAAAAACACAAAATGTAATAAGCTTATAAAAATCTGTGTCAGTGAAAAAAAAAACATGAGCTGTACTAGATGTGTGTCTCATAACAGACCCAGGATGGTAGCTGCCCGTGTCTTATTCTTGACATAGGTACGACTGGCTGGGTTGTCTCCGACTAAGACAACTCCCAGGTGGGGTCTCATGTTGTCCTGAGCTACCAGCTCCTCCACATCTCGCTGGATTTCTCTGTGGAGCTGACGAGCCAACTCTGTCCCTGAAATCACCACAGCAGCATGTCTGAAAAAAAAAAAAAAAAATCAAACATACAAAATGAGTCTCACCACCCAGAAAAAGACAAAGTAAGAAATCCTTCACATCTTCTTCTGCAGTGCCCCCTTCTGTTGATTAGGCTTATTGTCGAGCTCCCAATGTTAACACATTTACAGCTATTGCTTCAGATTTCCACATTTACACTAAATTGCAAAAAAAAAAAAAAGTGTGGCCTCTTGGGGGCCTGCCATCTCCTTTTTTGGAACCACAGGTTTGGTCAGTGTCAAATATATTTGTTTGTTTGTTTTTGGTATGTGCGTGTGCCTATACAGTGGAACCTCGAGATACGAGCGTCTCGACATAAGAGCATTTCAAGATACAAGCAAGAGAAGATAGAAGATAGAAGCAAGTATCGAAAACATTTTTTAGATACAAACACGCTTACAAACACCGATGCTTAAAAACATGTTTTTTAGTATTAATAAGGGAGTTTTTTAGAGGGCCAAAACAGATTCATTCATTATTATTATTTATTTGTTATTTTTTATGGTGGAAAAATGATTTGTGATACGAGCACCTCGAGTTACGAGCTCTGTTCTGGAACCCATTACGCTCGTATCTCAAAGTTCTACAGTATTTTATGTTTTTATAACTACGGTGTGTGCTATCATGTCTGATTTTTTTTTTTTTTTTAACTGTGAATAAAAACTTTTTTCCAGGGGAGGGCAATGGGAGGGGCGGGTTGCCCCGGTCGACAAATGGGCTAGGTCCGCCACTGGTCAACCGCATAACGATTGAACGTTAGTATATTCAATTTTAGAAACAAATTTTGTATTTTTTGTATTATTAAGACAGTAACGTTTAACAAAAGCAATGACTATTAAAAAAAAAAAAAACTTGGTTGACAGTGGACCAGCAGCAGACCGTTGACTGTCCCCCACCACGGCTACATCAGCTATCGCTGTATGAATGCAGTACCGCGGTTGTACTGCTACAACCCGGCAAACTGCGGCGGCTTATGTAATAGTAACTGTCAGATGTCAGCATGAATGTCCACTTGTACTCAGTCAGAGACATCTTCTGACCTCCAACGCTAAAGGTGTTAATCCTGCCCTGTCTCTACCGTGAACGGTAAAGCCTGCTGTCAATCAACGTACGTTGACACGTGATCATACACGCCGGTCTGGCTCATTCATTCAACCTTCCGTAAAATACTCCACGGTCAGTTTGTAAAAGGGGAAACCCGAAACGGCGGTGTTTCCGGTGTGTGACCCGTTTACCTGACTGCGGAAAGATGCAGGTGTCTCCGCTGACTCTCGCATTTTCTGTGCGTCCGCAGCTTTGCCCGGCAGCAGTGATGGTGTAAAGATAACGGGCTACAAATCCTGAAGGAGGAGCGTAGTGGAGAAACAGAGGCCGCCATGTTTATGTGCGTGTGTTGTACAGCCAGTGGACGTCGCGTGCGTGCGCGCGTGTGTAAGGGAGCATGAAGGACAGAAGGGAGACCGTGTTGTCCACACTGTCCTCTGTACACACCGGTACTATACCTGTACCTCTGTGTGTACTCTGTGTTTACTACACTCTTTTCCTTTGTTCTAAAAATACGGTTCATAATATTAAATATAACATCACTTGTCTATATTGATGTTCTCGTCATGTTTGAGAGTCAATTCAGAATGTTTCCAAAATTATAAGGTGACATATAAGGTGTGTCATATATAAAATCTCTGCATATATTTACGGATGAACAAAGAAACAACGGAGAGACAAAATGCTTCAATGTACAACGGCAACAACTAAAACTTATATATAATATATATAAAAAAAAATATATATATATGATTTTGAGTTGTCAACAGTCGTATGTTAAAATGGATATATTGTTTCCCCAAATTACTAAAAAGACAGCTTGAAATACCCCACGAGGGACTAAACATGGTGAGTTTAATTTCTAGTAACTGTATGACATAGGATGAATAAATCGCTGAATTATATGTTTGCACAAACATCATATTTTAATAAACATTTGCTGCTATACACAATTTTACCTCAAGATGGCAGCATATATGTTTTATGTTACATACATATACATATATATACATATATGTTCCCAAAGGCAAGATATTTGTAAACTATCAGTAAGTGAAAAAAAATGTTCTGACCAATGAAGATGTTATGTAAAATGTTGTTATTGGTTCACAAGAAACATGTAAAGTTATTTCTATAAATGGTCCCAGTGATAAAAAAACAAAACAAATCCAGGACCAGGTGACACATGTTCTGTACTAGCAGGCATCTACCAAGTCTTTACAGGCCCCAGTGAAGAGAACATATAATACATGTGACACTATGGTAACTGTCCAAACAAGTTTTTTTTTTTCCTCCACCCTCACTGATTATGTAAGTTCTAACAGGTTGGTGGCACCTTCAAGGTCGTAGGTAAAGAAAGAGCGATAGTGTGAAGAAAAAAAATGTTCATCCATCAACGTAAGCTAACATAAAGAAGCATTGAAGAACGCTTATAGGACTGTATGACTCAACCGTGTATTTGGTTTTAGATATTCATATCTGCCTACAGTTGTTGATTTTAGGAAGCTATGAAGATTACTGCCACATCTGAACTAAAGGTTTGTTTGATGTCGTGGGCGTGTATTTAGAAAAACCTGGTAAACACCACACTGACAAGGCTTGTCTGGACTGGAGAATGACAGCGAATATATGTATTATCCTGTGTGACAAAAGCCAAGCTGCAGTTTACTTAATTAATGGCTTTTTTCATATTGTACACCGTCTAAAGGGTGTTTGTTGATTGAAGACGTGGTAAATTCCAACTAAAGATGTTGGTCCACGCAGCACGATACTGAACACACAGCACCCGGCATGTGACCTGTGCAGTAGGAGGGAACTTGATCTTTTTTTTTAATTTCAGACTCCACAGTGAATGTGGAGACTCTAGGAAAACAACAACAAAGAGGATCAATTTCCTGTTACTGAGACAAAGCTGTGATATTTGCTATGTGACTGTGAACATGCAGCCACGAGATGCTCACCTCTTGTCGCCGGCTGACAAGTACTGCAGTGTAAAATTAATTAATATGTTCATGAGGTACAACAAGATTAACAAGAATGTTATTTTACGTTAATTTCCCTTAAAAAACACAACAAAAACAGATACTAAAACTGCAGTTAGATTTGTTTTTCACTCAAACTCTTATTTATTTTTACACTACTGAAAGATAATGACTTTTTTGATTTGTTGCTAAGACTTAAGAAGCTGTGTTTCTCAAATGGTGGGTTGTGACAAAAACTAGGGTCGTGGTCATGTTGCTATGATCTTGGCAACAGAAAGGCACTCAATTTTAAAACACACTTCATATTATTATATTAATATAATAATATCACTAAAACTACTGGTTGCTACTTACTGTATGGTAACACATACAGTAATACATGTAGTCGGTTTCATAGTGTAGCGGTTAGCACGCCTGCCTTGGAAGCAGGAAGTCATGGGTTTGATTCCCAGAGGTTTACTGGAGTCTGGGTTTGTTTCTTTCTATGTTGTGGTTCTGTGTAGGTTGAGGAAATCTGGATGACTCTTTAGGTCCAGTGTAGAATAAAAGGATAGGTGTGAGTGAAACTCATCTTTGTTATGGGGAGTCAGGGAGAGTCAGTGGTTCCACCCCACTGTGAATAGAGCAGAATCATGTCTCGACAAGAGTCAGGACTGGTATGGCTGAAAAGGGAAATTAATCCTCACATTACCTACATGGCAACACGCCTTTTATTTACTTTTCAATACAATAAATCCCACATTTTCACAACAAGAAGAAAAAAATATTTTATTTGCAAAAAAAAGATCTATTTAATTTTTTGACACAACCTTCGTTTTCTTTCGGCTTTGTCCCTTTTTTTCAGGGTTTGCCACAGTGAATCATTGACTCCAACTATCTGCATGTCCTCCCTCACTACATCCATATATCTCCTCTTTGGTCTTCCTCTCTTTCTCCTACCTGGTAGCTCCATCTCTAACATTCTTCTACCAGTGTATCCACTGTCCCTCCTCTGCACATGTCCAAACCATCTCAATCTGGCTTCTCTAGCTTTTCCTCCAAACCTTCCTGTCTGTGTTGTCCCTCTAATGACCTCATTCCTGATCCTGTCCATTCTTGTCACTCCTAAAGAGAATCTTAGCATCTTTAACTGTCATATGTTTGTCATATGCCTTTTCTAAATCTACAAATACACACTGTAGCTCCTTCTGACCTTCTCTGTACTTCTCCATCAACATCCTCAAGGCAAATATTGCATCTGTGGTACTCTTCCTAGGTATGAAACCATACTGTTGTTCACAAATCTCCACTTCCTGCCTCAACCTAGCTTCAACTACTCTTTCTCAAAATAAATTGGCACCAGAACACTTTTCCTCCACTCATCAGGCATCTTGTCAGTCTCTAAAATTCTGTTAAACAAACCAGTCAGGAAATTTACTGCCACTTCTCCTAAACACTTCCATACTTCCACTGGTATGTCATCAGGACCAACTGACTTTCCACTCTTCATCCTCTTCAGGGCTTTTCTAACTTCATCCTTTCTAACCTGATCTACCTTCTTCCTACTAGTCTCTGGTTCCTCGTTTCTACTTTCCCTTTCATTTTCCTCATTTAACAGCTCCTCAAAGTATTCCTTCCATCTTCTCAGCACACTTTCCTCACTTGTGATCACATTCCCCTCTCTGTCCTTAATCAACCTCACCTGCTGCACATCCTTCCCAGCTTGATTTCTCTGTCTCTACAATCTATACAACTCATTTTCTCCTTCCTTTGTTTCCAAACTCTCATACAACTCCTCATATGCCTTTTGTTTGGCCTTGGCCACTTCCCTCTTCACCTCCCTTGTACTCTCTTTGTACCCCAGTCTGTTCTCTTCTGTTGTGTCACTGTACCGTCTCTTCTTCGCTAATCTCTTTCTCTGCACACTCTCCTGGATCTCATCATTCCACCACCAGGTCTCTTTGTCCTCCTTTCTCTGCCCAGAGGACAATCCTAGAACCTTCCTACCTGTCTCCCTAATCACTGCAGCTGTAGTCTCCCAATCATCTGGGAATATCTCAACACGACCCAGAACTGCCCTTACTTCCTTCCTGAAGTCTTCACAACACGACTCTTTCCTTAGTTTCCACCACTTGATCTTCTGCTCTGTCTTCACTCTCTTCCTTTTTCTCACCTCCATCGTCATCTTAAACACTACAGTGCATTTCTTGCATACATATTCTTCCTTTAGGATCACCCCTACTCCATTTCTCTTCCCATCTGTACCATGATAAAACAGTTTGTAGCCTCCTCCAATGTTTCTAGCCTTCTAGCCTTGTTTCCTGCCCTTCCACCTGGTCTCCTGCACACACAAAATATCTACTCTTCTTCTCTCCATCATATCAGCTAGTTCTCTACTTTTCCCTTTTCCATTGTACCTACATTCAGAGTTCCAAACTTCAGACCAACACTTCTATTCTTCCTCTTTTCTCTTAGCGTCATTGCTAATATGAGCCCATAAGGACTTATATATTTATTATTATCAGTTAGTCCTGGTCCTCATATATGCCAGGGGGTTTTTGTATAATACTTATTATAATTATAATAATCACTATTATTTCACCTTATCACATGTACATTTCTGAAGGAATAAAGGTTTAAGTGCAGTCGGAATTTAATTTTTTTTATATAAATTTGGCCTCTTTGGTAAGGTATTTGTAACAAACTAAAGTGTATAAACATTTGCAGAGAGAGAGAAAATGATAAAAGAAAAAATATAAATTTAATTTATATTTTTGTACCATTAAACTAAAAAAAATAAATAAATAAAGTTAGTGCTGTCATCCTCCAGACGACCCCTCTCTGTCTCACTCCTCCCTCCCTCTCCCTCTCTCTCTCTCTCTCTCTCTCTCTGCCTACTGTTGTTGACTGACTGCACCGGTTACGTAACACATGCCTTGTGTTTATGCCTGGCGCACGTGGCCCCAGCCATAATGGGGCGGAGGGGGGCTGGGGGGGGGATGTGTTGGCAACATTTTAGACGGATCTACTGTACGTTAGCAACGACCCATCGATCATCGACACGAAACACACGGCCTTTGTAACGTGAAGGCATCGCTGCGGGTTTAGATTTAACACGGATTCGAACTCCGTGCCAACATGACACATGAGCGCATGCACGGATTCCACCACAGAACTGTTAGGTCATGGCAGAAGCATTAAAGCGGATTCACCTCACATCCGCCAGGCCTTTACAGTTGTGACTGTTGGTAATGGAAGCCATAGAACAATCTGGGTTTGAACATTCCAGCGTCTTTACGCATCAACCGACACATGGAATAACACTGGGCTGTGGTGTGTTCGCGTCCAGAGTAATTTGAAGACATACCTACTTAATGTTCCATGTTTTATCGTAGTTGTATTATATTATCATAAATTAGAAGAATCTGGAACGAAACCGATACGCACTATGCGCAAATACAATTTAATTAAATAAAAAAAAACAATAATAAAGCAGAAATGTACAATTTTAAACAAACATGAAAACAAATGTGTGTGAGTTTCACGCGACGAACACGATGTACCTGAACAT